CCCCCCCCCCCTGCCCCCACCCCCACGGTCCCCACCCCCCCCTCCTCCACCGCCATCCCCACCTCCTCCACCACTACCATCACCACCTTCTCCAGTACCTCCATCCTTACCTCCACCACCACCACCTCCACCACCACCTCCACCACCACCTCCACCACCACCACCTCCACCACCACCACCCCCTGCCGCCCAACCAGCCCTAGCTTCTGGCACTCTCCCTCTTCTCGAGGCATTGTGTATTCAGTATTCACTCGGGAAACTCCATTGCCTTCCGTGACGCTGTGTTCCTTCCCTAGTGTTTTTATACCTTCCCCAAGAACACCTGCTAGCTTGTTTCTGCTAATAATGATCCCTGTTGAAGTGCTGGAGTCATTTCAAGGTAATAAAAGTGCCGACTGAAGTGACGTTGAGTCTGGTGTGGGGAGATCAAGAATAAAGCCGAGCTTCATTCTGCCAGCGTCAACTCTGTTCACAGTCGATGAACACAGAAGGAAACGTGATCTTGATAGTCACCTTCTCTTCGTTTCCCCGAAAGTAGTGTAAGGATGGAGCACAACATGGACGCTGATTATATTTTCTTCTAGAGACATGAGAAGTACTTTGCAAAAGTCTTGATATAGACTTAAAAAAAACAATTAGGGAATTAAAGCGAGGAGCTGAGCGTGCACATATAACCATCCCCACACATACTTCAAATTCCTTCTGAAAAACTGTAAATATGTTGTAATAAATACGTCTGGGTTTTTTTTTGTTTTTGTTTTTTGTTTTATTTATTTTATTATTTGTGTGTGTGTGTGTGTGTGTGTGTTTAATTTGTTTTTCTGAGACAGGGTTTCTCTGTAGCTTTGGAGCCTGTCCTGGTACCCTGTGGACCAGGCTGGCCTCAAACTCACAGAGATCCACCAGTCTCTGTCTCCCAATTGCTGGGATTAAAGGCATGAGTAACCACTGGCTGATAATAAACAAACAAACAAACAAATAAATAAGTCTTTAGCACCACAAAAAACAAACAAAACAAAAAAACAATTTTTTAAAATATGTTACCAGCAAATCAAAAATTACAGGCTGGCCAGATAGAGAGGCACACACCTTTAATCCCAGCATTCAGAAGGTAGAGGCAGGGGGATCTCTGTGAGTTTGAGGCCAACCTGGTCTACAGAGCAAGCTCTAGGATAGCTGAATCTACATAACAAGAAGACCCTATCTAAAAAGAAACTTAAAGGCCAAGAGAGGTGGCTCACACCTGTGACTCAAGCATTCAGGAGTCAGGAAGATCAGACGTTCAAGGCCATCCTTGGGTACATAGAAAAACAAGGCCAACCTATGCTATATGAGACCCTATTTCAATTTTTTAAAGGGTATATAATGAGTTCTTATAAAACAAGAAATAGGCAAACATTTCACCCTTAAAATGCATTAAAGCATTACCTGAAAGAAAAAAATATGAGTGGCTTATAAATACAGATCAAAATGTCCTATATTAGACATAAAAAGCAATACATATTAAGAGAGGGATATAAATTGGTTTCTATCATATTAGCAAAATGTGAAGGCTATATCCCTGAAAGGTACAAGTATTTAACAAAGCCTTATATTATCTAGTAATATTACTATTTTTTAATTTATTACCTAGAACACCCATTCTCAGATAGCCTAAAAATACACACACCTAGAGAGAGAGAGAGACAGAGACAGAGTGACAGACAGAGAAAGAGTGACGGACAGAGAGGTCATTAATCCTCTGAGACATTACTTATGATGATGATAAACTGACAAAAACTGAATATCCACCATTAAGTGATGTTGAATGACTTACACAGGATTGCTTTATTGCAAAAAAGGCAGGGGACAGCTTTGTCAGAATTGGGGTGAACCGAGACTAGGACCCACTCTTAAGTGAATAGTGCAGTGACAATATTTGCTTAAATAATGACAGTGTTTTTATACTAAGGTGAAAAAAAATCAACGCTCCATAGTTTTCTATAAGTGCAGACATCTTGATGAACAGATCCAACACAATATGTGTGAATGAAGTATGAAGTCTATGTGAAGCCGGCATTATTTTGGCTTCCACCACAATCATGGACATCTTTTTCTCAGCTCTCTCTATTCTTCTGAACTTAGGAGGGTTGATGTGTTTGTGTTAGAGCTGGAAACTAAGCACAAGTGTGCCAAAAGTGCCATGGGGCTAACAAACAGCACGGCGCCTGTGACTGACATAACCACACCTGCTACCACCATCTGTCTGCGGAGGGGGCTGAGGTGACCCGTCTTCCACAGGCAAGCAGGTCTCTCAATTGAAAGCTGATTGGCAAAGGGGAGCCTGCTTGACAGCCTTTATCCCCAGGGCTCTGATCTCCAACTTGTCATATGAGAGTCAGTTTTGATCAGCTAGACAAAGAGAAGGAAGGGAATGCTCTCCTTGCTCCTAACTCACATGGAATCAGGGGAGGAGCCAAGCAGATGGATTTAAGATGCTCACATGACTCAGGTGACTGCACCGACTCCTTGACCTTCATAGGTGATGCTGGCCAACAGTAAGGCCGGGAAACAACTGCTCTCTTTCCTCATTGCTTTATTTGACTCATTCACTGGCCATCTCCCCCAGAAGGAGAGATTTGCTGCAGGCAGGAATTCCGTCTGTGTTATTCATAGGCATTTGTCCAGAATCTATGTAGTGAAGAGAGGAAAGGAAGAGAGAGACGTAAGAAAATGGAAAAAGCTTGGCAGAGATCTTATGATGTTTGTCTCAGTTCTTATGTAACAATGAGATGGGGGGAGATTGTGCTTTTTTTTGTTTCATTCTTGCAAGTAAAGGTGAAAGTAGGGAAGCCTTTCCTTGAGCCGGATGTCACGGCTCCAGACAGCTGCTCAGACTATCTCCAGGTGACTGAACAGTGAGAAAGCTGCCTATGGAGCCAAAGAGGGGATGTGGCAAGGGCATTTGCATCAATCCCAGAAGTCTCTTATGCAAATAAAGGCTCGTGTTTGCATAAACTGAGGAACAATTCATCATGCAAAGAAGTATACATATTTATGCCAATTACAGGATTTCCACTGGGCCACCAGGGGAAGAGCTCTCCTTGGGTGATGGAAAAAAAGGTAAGCTGTAACAGTTTTGAAGCAGTCAGAGCAGCGATGGAGCCTTCTAGAACTAGAGCTGTGTGTGGCTAGAAGCTGCCATTGCAGTGTAGTTTCCTCAAGGCAGCTATGCAGTGTTTAAAGCAGTCTTGCTGCAATGATCTGTTTCCCTGGCTGATAATCTTCAGTCCAAACATCCAGGCACTGAGGAGGGCTCTATTTGAGCTAAAATTCTCACTGTAGGATGGGAGATATTATAAGGAACTGAAAACAGAGAGGAAACATGATTGTGAATGGAATAGGTAATAACTGTATGGACGTGTAGTTTTTAAAAGGTATAAGGCTCAGAAGTAATGACACCACCCTGACAATCCACACGCATAGCATGCAGTCTCATTCTTACTGCTCCATAAGGAGAGAAACCAAAAACCCAAACACAATGCAAGTTTGGAAGAGCTTGTGCTAGGAAAAAGATACTCGAGAACAAAGGGCAGCTGGCCAGGAAGGAAGAAGGGTCCACTGTAAATGGAGTTCTTAACTGCTCTAAACAATAAACACCCAGAGTCAGATATAGAGGAAAATGCTGAGAGATCAGAGAGAAGGATCAAGCCAAAGTCACCTTTACCTCAGTAGCTTTCCAGCAGAAAAGAGAGTTCTTGTTTCCTCCTGCCTATCTCCTCTCTCTGCCCAGCCACCTCACTTCCTGTCTCCATCAGCCATCTCACTTCCTGTCTGTCTCTGCAGACCTCCAGACCTCTATGGTTAGCTAGTGGCAAGCTCCACCCTCTGCTCTTCAGACCGGCTTTGTTTGTACAATCAAGATGTCACTACAGTCCATAGGCAGGCATTGTGACAAGGTCACACCAGAAAGAATGTTGACTGTGGAATGCCCCACCTTTGCATAGCTCTAGGAACAGATCTAACTAGGGCAGCAAAGAAATGAAGAAAAAACAGTCACACAGACACACGGAGACATTAGTATTGTATATTGTGTGAACTGGGCTCTCAGACGGAGAAACCATAGCACCCGGGAGCTCCGTGTATTTATTATATACAGTTGACCAGGGAGGCAGGGTTATTCTGCACAGCTGAATCAGGGAGGTGAGCTTAGCTTGATCTCAGTAGGACCAGTTCTATAGTCTTCAGGCAGTGACTACCCAGGGAGAGACAGCTCTGGTGAACATTTTCTGCACACATAATAATATCTATGCATGGACCACAAGAAGGCTTTACCACCCCTCTGAGCCTCGCCCTGAGGAAGGGGCTTTGTGATTTTCCTGGTGGGTCTCAAGTTCCTTGGCCCTTGACATAGCTGTGCCCTTGTCAAATCCTACAATCACTCCGATTTCACTCACTCAGGGCTTTCTCTACTCCCCACAGGGGGACACATCCAACTTACCCTTTTCATTACATTTATTTGCATGTTTGTGTGAGCTTCTGTGTAAGTGCACGTAGGAGCACAGAGGTTTGGCCATCAGAGGACAACTTGTGGGAGTTGGTTCTCTCCTTGGACCATGTGGGCCCTGAGGATCGAACTCAGTTTGTCAGACTCGAAAGCCAGCATCTTTTCCTTCTCTGAGGCATCTTACCCTGCTGGCAACCAATTTAAAATATAATGGTAAGTTTTACCTTCTCTATAAGAGGTAGGTTTAAAAAGTGTGTCATCCTACAAACGTGTGGAAAGTAGTTCATGTTATGTAAAACCAGGATCCTCCCATACGTCCTTTACCCACTATTTCCTATGGGAAACGAAAGTTACATGTATTTATCCTATGTGTGATGGTTTGAAATACGTATTCATTAAGGAATAATGAAATCAAGTGTGTTAGTACCACTTTGCTTCACATACTAATATTGTGTTGAGAACTGGGAACCAGTCTTTCCAGTCTTCAAGACAACAATATATTCCTTTTTTTTGTTTGTTTTATTTTTCTAGGCAGGGTTTCTTTGTGGCTTTAGAGGCTATCCTGGAAATCGCTCTGTAGACTAGGCTGGCCTTGAACTCACAGAGATTTGCTTGCCTCTGCCTTCCGAATGCTGGGATTAAAGGCGTGTGCCACCAACCCCGGCTTACAATATATTCTTAAAGCCACAGTTGCCATGTTACACATTGGATATGCCAAACTGACTTCCTTTTGCTTAATTGAAATTTTGTTTCACTTGATCGACATCTGCCATTTCCCAGGTTTTCAGACCCTGCCAGCCTCCATCCTATCTGTCTCCAGGCGTCTCGCTGTTGGAGAGCCCCTCCCTATATGATGTGGGGTCCTGCAGTGTTTGTCTTTCTGACTGTATATCTCAGCTGAATCCAGTCACTGCATACACAGAGTGGAGAAGGCAAGTGATGAGGAAAGCGGATCAGAGTCTGTGTGTAGCTTCCTCGCTCAGCTCTCTGCAGCTCCGATAGTTTTGCTGCCCTGGCTTGCTCCTTTACTCTTGTGCTCAGGGATGACTTTACTCTCTGAGCTTTGTCTCACTGCTCACCCTGGAGCCGGGGCTGCTGTCCCCAGGGCTGCTGTCCCCAGGGCTGCTGTCCCCAGGGCTGCTGTCCCCAGGGCAAGTCTTCATTCCCTTTGTCCCTCTTACTGTTCACACTTCCCGGCTGCTGCTCCCCGGTTCAAGCTGCATCATTTTGCCCTTGTTTCCGAGTGAGAAGTCAGTGTCAACTTTCTTCTCTTTATGAGATTGTTAATAGTCTCTGAAAATCAAGAAGTGGCCCCGCATCCTTGGGAGAATGACACTAATGCCTTCAACCCTATGAAAATCTCCTCACACAGGTGAATAAAGGAAATAAATCTTTGTAAGCAGACGGCCCTGTCCATTAGATTGAGAATTTCATGCCAGCCACATTCAAAATCTTGTATAATATTAGTACTAATCAGTGTTTATTAAAATTCAGACATGTTCACAACTGTTGCGGCAGCCGAGTGCCCGTGAGTTAAATTGATTTTAGTCCTTAGACACCCATTAACAGCGCTGCTTCCCATTTTCATAATGAAATACAGTTGTGGAGGGGTGTTTGTGAAACGACTTCTATTTGATTGAAATGTGACCTTGACTAGGAATACTCTATGAAAATGTGCACAATGCCCACGCCACGACACTTCTATTACAGCCTTGCAACTCTGTGTTCCCATTGCCAGCCCTAATGAGACACAACAAACACCAAGTTAGATTCCTTCAGCCTACATCAGACACAGTATGGACAGAGTATTCAGACTCATGCTTAACTTGCCCAACACATAGCCACTGAGCAGAACCTGAGATGGTGTAGTAAAGAACTCCAGTGGCTTTTATAATTCAAAAAAAAGAAAAGAAAAGACAGAAAGGAAAGAGAGAGAGAGAGAGAGAGAGAGAGAGAGAGAGAGAGAGAGAGAGAGAGAGAGAGAGAGAAAAAAATGGGCTCCGCACATGAAGGCATTCTTTGGCACATTTGAACCATACAGAACCTTGTGGCTTGACTGGCTTCCTTGAGATATTCCAAGACAGCCAGGTCTAGGGCTAAGGAAGAAAGTAAATTCCAACCCCAGTTTTACTTTGTTGAAACCAACCTGCTTGCAGAATCAAGGTCTCCATGCTGTCTGCTTCTGTGTAGTGTGGCCAGCGGGAACAGTGGGCTTGGCAGACTGCCCTCTGCCTCCATGGTGTTCCTCTGAGGGAAACTGTATTTGAAAACTTTTTTCCCTCTTGCCAAATGTGTATAGACTGGCCAAAATCTACACCCATAAGAGCCATTCTTCCCGGCTGGTGAAGAATCAAGAGCAACACCTGGCATTCCCAGCACAGCCCAGGCCCTCCGTGGGCTGTAACAGCAACTGCAGTTTGATTTTTAGGCAGAACATCTGGCCAACATTTTTTTTGGGACTCCAGTGTTTGATAATTCAGAGTTGAATCACAATGGCTTTTCCATGACTGTACACAGTATGTCTGCAGTCATGTTTATTTTGTTTTCCAGGGGACTCTTCATGTGTCAGAGCCCTGTGCAACACTGAAGGGATATGTGCGTGAAAGGAGGAGGAGTGCCACTGGGCTCTACAGCTCCAGGACCTTCTGGGGGCTGATGTGCCAAGTGTCTCCAACGACTTTACTTTGGGGGCAGGGACGGGGGGGCGACTTCATGAGAGTGGCAGATAAATGGCTATGGAATTGAGTAAAGAGCATAAAAGCATGCAATTCACAGTTGAAATAATGCAATTCCTAGGAAATGAGATGTAAGAGAATATGTAAAATGGAAGGACCCCAGCGCACGCGCAGCAGCAAGAGGCCCGCCCAGTAAGATTAGATTCGCGGACAGGAAAATGAAATGTTTTCCCCGGCGAAAGAGTGGAGCTTTGGGAGATCGTGGAGAGACAACCTAAAGTAACGTTTCTTGTTTAAGAAAACAAGAAAAAACAGCTCATAAGCAGCCCATTTGGGAGATTTCTGTGGTTTCCTGGCGTTGACCTCGTCCCACCCGCTCCACCTGCCCTATACTCTAAAAGCCGCGCTGTTCCCATGGGAGATAAGTTACAGGCGCCCGAGGCTGTTTGCCGTAACCAGCTTCGCCCTCTCCCTGTTTTCTCACCCAGATCTCTACTCCTACAGCTCTTCCTTGCCCTTTCCCCAAATTTCTCCAGTAGAGTGCAAGCTAGCTTGTCCTGTCCCTGATCTATTAAGACCCTGGACTGTCTCAATCAAATGCTCAACTCCCACAAAAACCATTGCAGAGGAGACGATCACCGGCTTCCCACGTGCAATCCTCAGCTCGCAGTGACCTCTGAGAACAGCATTTCCTTTTTTTTTTTTTTTCAGCTTGAACAGGCATCGTAAGACTCTGACATGTATATGTATAAGGGGATCTTCTTGTCCATTGTTCTTTGGGGGGCGGGTATAGTATTCAATTCGGGGAAGAATTACTTTCAGTAAGAGAAGAATTATTTGGTTTCCTCTAGATTGGCACTTGAGTATTCTGAGGAGTGTGGCAACATCCTCTCCACCCCAGTGTTGGTATTTTCCTCTATTATAAATTGTTCTATTCCCATAAAGGGAAGAAAGGAAGGGGAAGGGTTATAGGAGAAGGCATGGCAAGTTTTATTAATTGAATTAGGAGTAACTTACCTCTAAAGGCATGGTAGTTCTATAGAGTACACACTGTAAAAGTCAAGCAGGTTTGTTGGAGCACACTTTGTTTTGTGTATGTTTTCACGTGTATGTGCGTGAGTGTACGTGCATTTGGTGACTACAGGTCATTGTCTGGCCTGCCCCTCAATTGCTCTATACCTCCCCCCTGCTTGTTATTTGAGATGGTTTCTTATTGGCTATAGAAGTTAAAGATATCTGAACAGGCTGGCCAGAATTCTGCACAAGGAATCCCCCTGACGTCACCTGCCCGTGCTCGGACCATCACACAGCTGTGCCTGCTTTTTACATGGGTGTGTGGTATTGCTTGAACAGCAAGTACTTAACCAAATGAGCCTTCACCCAGCCCCTCCAACTCCTTTTCTTTTCTTTGTTTGTTCAAAAGTAATACTTTTTCTTTTCATTAAATATTTTTTTAAATTCTTCTCTTATACAATGCATCTTGACTGTAGTTTCCCCTCCCTCTACTCCTCCCAGTCCTCTCCCACCCTGCCCTGTTCCCCACATCCAGGGCTCCTCCATTTTTCCCCTTTAGAGAAGAGCAGGCTTCCCCGGGATATCAGCTGAGCATGGTAGAACAAGAAATAATAAGACTCAGCGCAAGCCCTCATATCAATGAGGGACAAGGCACCCCAGTAGGAAGAAAAGGGTCCCAAGGGCAGGCTTAAGAGTCAGATACGCCCATCACTCCCGCTGTTAGGAGTCCAGCAAAAACCCTAAGCTACACAACCATAAGGTATGTGCAGAGAACCTAACGCAGACCAGTGCGGGGTCGTGGTTGTTATTTCAGTCTCTGTGAGCCCCTATGAGCTCTGCTTAGTTAATTTGCGAGCCATGTTCTCATGGCATCCTCAACTCCTCTGGCTCCTACAGTCCTCTCCAGGGGGGGGCACCCCCTCCACCACCCCACCCCACCCCTGCTTCTGTTAGTGAATGTTTGACGGTGGTTCTCTTCATCTGCTCCCATCAGCTGCCAGAGGAAGCCTCTCTGATGATGACTGGGTGAGGCATTGATGTAGGAGTATAAGAGAATACCATTAGGAATCATTTCATGGAATTTTTTCCTTGTTAGCTGTATTTGGTTCTATCCTAGGTCTCTGAGCCATCAGCCTCTAGTTCCTGGTCTTCCAGGCATGGGCTTCCTCTTGCGGTGGGGGCCTCAAGTTGGACCAGCCATTGGTTGAGTACTCCCATAAGTTCTGCATCGCCATTACCCTAGCACAGCTTGTAGGCTGGACAAATTGGAGGTTGAAGGTTTTGTGGCAGGGTTGGTGTCCCAGTGCCACCACTGCAGGCCTTACCTGGTTACAGGAGATGGTGTCTGAATCCTCTAGCGCTTGGAGTCCTCACTAGGGTCACCCTCATAGATTTCAGGGAATTTCCACTGGGCTAGGTTTCCACACCGCCCCCAAACTCCTAAATTCCAGATGTGCACCTCTGCCACACTCCCTCCCTTCTTGCTCCCCCTCCCCCGTTCCCATCCCCATCTGCCCCAGTCCACGCATCCCCTCCTGAGCCCCGCTTGTTACTGCCTCTCTGTAAGTGAACTGCAGTGCGAGTGTCCTTTACTTAACAGCCAATGTCCATATATGAGCGAGTACACACCGTGTTTGTCTTTCTGGGTCTGGGAAAGTTCATGATGTCATTTTTTCTTTAAACTGTTGAGTAATACTCCATTGTGTAAATGACTGCATTTTTATCTCTTCTTCAGTTCCTAGCTAATATGAATAAAGCTGTCACAAACGGGGTTGAGCAAGTGTCCTTGTGGTAGCATGGAGCATCAGTTCATTCTCTTAAAGTCATATACCACCAAGCAAAACATGTGCATATGATTGAGCATCCTTTGGTATATATGCAAAGGTATAGGGCATAGACATGCAAAGGTTGCTTGATCATACCACAAGGACTCTTGCTCAACTATGTTCATAGCAGCATTATTTGTAATAGCCAGAATCTGGAAACAACCTAGATGCCCCTCAACTGAAGAATGGATACAGAAAATGTGGTCCATTTATACAATGGAGTACTACCTAGTGGTTAAAAACAAAACAAAACAATGATATCGTGAAAGTTTCAAGCAAATGGATAGAACTAGATGTAACACAGATCCAGAAAGACAAACATGGTATGTACACACTCATAAGCGGATACTAAATGTAAAGCAAAGGATAACCAGACTACAATCCACAGCCCCAGAGAGGATAGGTAAGAAGGAGCGATGCATAGATTCCCCCGGGAAGGGGAAATAGAAGCTATCTCCTATGTAAACTGGGGGTGGGGAGGAAGGAGGTCTAGACCATGAAGGATCAGGGTGAGTGGGTTGGGGTGAGATGGATGGGGACAATAGTGACAGACATATATTGATGGGGCATTTTGAGATTAGGGAGAAACCTGGTACCAGGGAATCTTCCAGAAATCCACAAGGATGACCCCAGCTAAGACTCCTAGCAATATTGGAGAAAGTGCCTGAACTGGCCTTCTCCTGTAATCAGATTGGTGACTGTCCTAATTGTCATCAGAGAGCCTTCATCCAGTAACTGATGGAAGCAGATACAGAGATCCACAGCCAAGCACTGGCTGAGCTCTGGGAGTCCTGTTGAAGAGGAGAGAGGACTCTCTTCTCTTCAACAGGGGAGTCAAGGTCATGACAGGGGCACCCACAGAGACCTGAGCCAGTGGCAGCTCATGGACTCTAGACCAACAGGCAGGGAGCCCGCATGGGACCAAGCCCTCTACATGTGTGACAGTTGGTGTAGCTTGGTCTGTCTGTGGGGCTCCTAGGAGTGGGATCAGGGTCTACCCCTGGGACTTGACCTGGCTTTTAGGAACCTATTCCCCAGTCTGGGTTGCCTCACCCAACCTTGATCCAGGGGGAGAAGCCTGGTCCTGCTTCAACTTGGTATGCCATGCTTTGCTGATGCCCATGGGAGGCCTGACCCTCTCTGAATGGGGAAGGAAGAGGAGTGGATGGGGGGGGCTGGAGGGAGGAAACAGGAGGAGAGGAGGAGGGGAAACTATGTGAAACACATAAAAAAATTAATAAAAGAAAAAGGAATGGGATGAAAATACCTGAAAATACCAGACAGTGAGACAGCTCAAATCATATTGATTCATTCTGCATGGAAACCTGGGACAATTTAAATATTGCCAGCCTCAACATCCTTACTCAAAACATGATAAATAATAATTCCCACGTAACATGGTTTTCGAAGGTCTACAGGAGGTAAGATATGTGACAATCCCTTACACTAAGGCCAGGCCCCAAATAGGCACTTAGTGAATAGTTCCCTTCTTTTTGCCATCATTATGGTTACAAAATGAAGATGCCAGTGATCTTTAATTTATTGCTCACCTCTTATGGGGATAATAGTTACTATCTGAGCATACATGACTTCTGTGCACTCCCAGAGTGCCGAGTGTCTAAACAGTGAACGCTTTCCCTTCCAACCATGTGACTGAACAACATATAGTTCATGAACTAAAGTGCTCGAACTGTATCATCCGTAATGAGTACATCTCAAAAACACATCCAGAATTTACTTCAGCAGTCAGCTCTAAACAAATAAGAACAGTAGTCTGAGGACCAGAGTCTGCCGGCAAGAGGGAGAAGTTTGGTCAAGTTCACGCGATGCTGACTGCTGCAGCCGGCTCCCCTCTCAGGGCTCTCAACTGCTCTCTGTGTTAACCACACAGAGCAGTTGGTGTTTGGAGAGGTTCCCATTGGCTCCCCCGAACACACCAGGTGTCCCGTCCCACTTTCTGTCTCTGGGCTCCGTGAAACCTGGTGGACTCCCTGCATCTCTCTGATCTCTTGGTAGCTGTTGACAATTAAGACTTTCAAGCCTGGAGTGATTTGTTCAGAGAGGGGAGCAGTTCTGGGTGTCCTCTGCTGTGACTGGGCTGTGAGCCTCTCCCTAATACACAACAGCTGCCGAGGAGCATGGTCTCATCCTGGGCCATATCATGGTGGAAACAGAACCAGCTTCCACAGCCGTTTGTACCATCATTTGTATCATTGAATTTCCCATTTTGAGGGAGGCAAATGACACTTTTGTCTGAAAAACAATTTAGCTTTGTCTCTTTGGGGAGGAGGATTCTGGTGTGCCAGCAGAATGCAAAGCAGGTTATGGAGAAAGGAAAAAAGAAGCAACAAAGAAGAAGACGAGTTCTTGCATCTACCCGGTGTTGTGGGCCGTGATCACACAATGACAATTCTTTGCCTTGGCGATTTGTGCTCTTAAGTTGGCTCCGCCCCAGTGTTCACATTCCTGAAGGACAGGGATGGCCAAATGTTCAACTTGTATTCATCGCATGGTCAAATTGATGGACATTTAAGCAGATTTGGAAGCAGGGTGGCTCCTTGGCATCTTGTTCTAAAGGCGAAAAACCTGCTTAACGCAAAGTATCCTTTTAAAATGGGATATGCTGCCGGAGTGATGGCTCAGTGGTTAAGAGCACCCGCTGCTCTTCCAGAGGACCTGGGTTCCATTCCCAGTGTCCCCAGTGTGTTGCGGGTGACAAGTGTCTACATGTAAGAGCCGGGACTACCGTTCACAAGGAAGTACCGCCACATATTCTAAATACCCAATCTGTCGTTGGCGAGAAGTGCAAAATTAATATTCCCCATATCAAATTTCTCACCACCAGTGTGTGTTGAGAATCCCAAGTCTAGTTGCTGAGTGGTTTCTACAGTGAAACTTCTTGCCAGCTAGCATGTGTCATACAGACAAGAGTTCCTGAAGAATGATGATGACTTGCTATAAATAACGAAGAGACGGATGTCCACTGAAGCCCAAGGAAAATTAGCTTGTCAACTCGTGTGACAGAGCAGAAACAGAAATGAGTCACTGCTTCTCTTCTTGTTGGTACAAATGCAGAGACATGGAATCATTTCTCAACGATCTGGGAAGAAAATGCCTTCTGTGAAGAAACAAGGCAAAACCATGCATCATCACTTCAGCAGAAACACGGGCTCAGAAGCACACCACGGTAGAGCCAACTACAAACAAATGGGAGCTCATGGTACATGGAATCACCGCCATGAATCCTGCTGTCTGAGACAGACATGAGAATTTAAAATACGGATTCAGGCAACTGCATGACTTCTCATTACAGCGAAGTCACCGGAGTGGAATGTGAACTGCCATTTTGCAAAATGGATAATCTCAGAAATGGGGCCCTCTTGAGAAAGAGGACATGCGGGCGTTACATTCATTTTGTCTATCATTGGGAGGCTTCTCAATTCACAAAAACAAAGCAAAAAACTAGGCTAGTATGTACTGAGATGGGGAAATCCAAGGATTTCCTTGCTGTGTCACGGTGGTCTTCGAGGAAAAGGCAGACTCGAACAGCTCATTGTGGGGAGCTTTGCTGCTCTTGACTATGCAGAACACACCAAAGAAGGGAAATGATGAAGGCTAGAAAGCAGCTCATGGCATTGCCAGCAACTGACATGAAGTAGCAGAAGGAACCTGTGGAGAACTTATAGGTTATATGCTAAAATAAATAAGATACAAAACAAATATCCCCTTACTGAGTAATGATCAACTTTGGTAAAATTCATTACTTTTGCTACTTGAGTTTTTTTTTTTAAAGGCAAAATATATTTCCTTAAACAACCATCCATAAAAATTAAAAATTATGGCAATTTAAAATTTAACCAAATAAACAATTTCTTTATAAAATTCAGAATATTCTGGATTGACCAGATAGTTCAGCATGTAAAGGCCCTTTCCAGTAAGAGTGACAACCTGAGTTTGTTCTCCGGAAGAAAAGAATCAGCCCTCTCATGTTGTCCTCTGAATGCCACATGTGCACTGTGGCATGTGCACACACACATGCACACACACATGCACACACACATGCACACACACATGCACACACACACGCACTCACACACATATGCACACACACTCACACACATGCACAAACACACACACATGCACAAACACACACTCACACACACATGCACGAACACACATACATATGCACACACACATACACACCACACACATGCACACACACACACAGACACACACACATATGCACACACATATGCACACACACATACATGCACACACACACATGCACACACACACATATGCACACACATATGCACACACATGCATGCACACACACACATACATGCACACACACATGGGTGTGTGTGGTGATGTATTACTTATGATTTATTAAAGCTTGCCTGAGGGAAAGCAAAGTCAGCATCAAGCTATAGAGATCAGGCAATGGTGACACACACCTTTCACCCCAGCAGCCAGAAGCTAGGAGGTGGTGGGACACACCTTTCATCCTAGGGCTCAGGATGAAGAGAGGAGAGGCAGCAGTCTGAGGCGTGGTGAAGAGCTCCTGTGTGATCAGCCCTTTCTGCCTGAGCTAGAGGTGAGAGCTAGTGGCCGGCTGCTTTGCTTTTCTGATATTCAGCTTGAAGTCTGAACCCCAATATCAGCCTCTGGGTCATTTATTAATTCATATTACACACACACACACACACACACACACACACACACACACACACACGATAATTTTAAAAGTATTATTTCCAAACAAAGGGCACACATAGTTTCCATTATTGTGAGAGATGAGTACAAATTCTGTTACCCCTGGCTGGAAGATAATATAAATTACAGAGATAATTTGCAATTATAGATAAAAGTATATATAGAAATATAACAGGAGGAGGAAAGCTTTGAACTGATTTTAGTCACAAAAAGGTGACCAGAGTGACCA